TGGGGAGTGTTCATCCTCCTAGCCCCCCGGGGAACTTAACGACTAGGTTGTGTTTTCTCGATCGATTGGCCTGCCACCGGGGCGCGATTTCCGCCACGTATACTTTGACCGTGGAGGGGACGCGCCCACTGTCCAGCATCTGCAAAAATGTGAGAACTGACACAGTATCACATTTAGCAGGGTCTATTTTCCAAGCGAAGCACCAGCTTGAGAAAATAGAACATTTCTGAGCATAGAGGCGCCTTGTGGAAGGGGCCCTTGCCTCTGAGATCATTCTCATGACTTCTTGGGGAAGGCCTGACGGTTCCCATCAAGGGGCCAAATATGCAGGTTCCACAACTCTGGTTGAGGGTGCAAGATCATCCCCCCTTCCTGGGAGAGACGGCCTCTCATTAGCGGCATGGGCCACGGAGCTGCCGACACCAGCTGGACTAATTCTGGGAACCAGGGCTTTTGCCAGTGTGGTGCCATCAGAAAACCTGCACATGCTTCTTCCAGAATCCGACTGATGACCTGCGAAAGCAGGGTTACAGGAGGGATGGCATAAAGGCACAGATGAGGCAAATTCAAGGCCAGCGTGTCCATTTCCTTTGAGAAGTATATTTGGCAGTGGGAGTTCTCTTCCATCGCGAAGAGATCAACATCTGCCTGACCGAAGGAATACCATATCACGTTGACCGCCTGGGGGTGGAGTCTCCATTCCCCCGGGGGAGGTCTGCCGTGTGACAGCATGTATTCTCCTATGGGCACAGAGGAACCTCCGCATAGAGAGGGTGGTTCACGTGCCGGGCTCCTCAAACGAAAGAGAAGACAGTTCGCCAGTGTGTGCATAGGGCGGGACCTGAGACCTCATTGGTAGTTTATAAAGGCAACCACCGTCCTGATGTCCAAGCGGACCAGGACATGATGACCCCTGAGTTCCGGCTGGAACTCCTTGAAGGCCAGAATCACCATCATCTTCAGGCGGTTGATGTGCCAACTTGATATAGGGGAGCCGAAGGCTGTTCTGCCGTCGCACAGGACACCACAGCCAGTCTTGGAGGCGTCTGTCACGACCACTTTCCTCCAGGAATCTGGCGGCTCCGTTTCTTCTTTCATCTCGGCTTAAGGAGATGGAGCGGCAGGTTCGCTGAAGAGCGTGATCTGGGCGCACAGTTCAGGGGTGACGCAACGTTCAGCTTATCGCAGTGTGGGCAGCTGGAGTCCAGAAGTGCCGCCTCGGCATGGGCGCAGCCCAGGCAAGAGGCGCACTCGGAATGCTTATCTAGAGCAGGCAGGTGAGCCCTGCATGAGCTGCATTCACAGCGCGACATTTGCAACAACGTTGCTGAAAATTAGCTCTAAAATTTGTTCTTTAATTTAGTCGCCAGATGGCCACAGGGGAGACTCTAAATTGCTTTGCTTGCAGAACGCTCTTTCAATCAGCTTGCTTCCAGAGTGTCGCTAAGTCAGCTTGCTAGTAGAGATTCTGCTCCTCTGCGAGGCTCGTTCGATGGCGTGAAAAGAGGCTTCAGTCTTCTTCTTCTGCAGCGAGATGATCTTCGCGCCAAAGGAGTAAGATTCTGAAGATTTGGCATTTCTGCATGGCTTATATAGGCAGCCAACCCTGGCACTTTCGGCAGGCTGAAATGCCATTTGTCTGTGCGTGAACCAATCAGGCTTCAGGATTCGAAAAAAAAGAGGGTGTTTTCCCCAAGTTGTATATGTTAACATTAATAAACGCACTGTAAAGTAACATGAACATTTTTAACATTAACAAAGGTCATACAAGTTTGGAACAAACTTTGGAGCATGAGGTTGAGTAAATGATGTCCGAATTTATGCTTTTTTGGTGAACTATCTGTTTAAGAAAAATCAAGTCCATTGTATTACTGTACATGCTCTCTGAAGTACCCAATTACAAAACAGTATGCAGCTTTCCAAGGTAGTTCTAAGGTCAATTACCATTCAAAATTCATTAAAGGCCATTTGGTTGTCATTTGAAGATCCGGTCCAACATTAAAACTCAAGAGGGACGATCCTGTGCCAGTCGATACATGATTGATGTTCAATTCCCGTCTCACCGTCAGAAAGTCACGACCTGCACCTCTGGCTTCGTGGTTCTGGAAATATATCGTCCGGGTCAATATCACACCCCCAATGCACATCGAGAATGCTAAATCAAATCGATTGATCACCATAATGCTTTTCAGAGGGGCAGATTATGTTATAATCTATAGCACACCAGATTATGAAATAAGAGAGAATTAAATCGTGCAGTGTCATGCACAGTCCTACAAGTCATCAATCCTGGAGTCAAACGGTGAGTCTTGACCTTCATTTGGTCACAGCATAAGCACATAATCCTGCAGGATGCTGCATGCAGTAGATGCTGATCCAGCAATGCAGCGCATCAACCGTGCAGGTCACCGGCTTTCACACTGTGCCGGTTCATCAAGCTCTTCACGCGCCAACACTTTGCCAAAATGTAAATGGCAACACAAATGCATCAGTAAACATCAATATGTGTATGTGTACATCTGGTATTAACTAGAAATATGAAAAAGTCCATAAGACCACAGGTGAATATTCGGAATAATTGGTGTATACATTAACAAACATAAATGTATTATTTATACACTGCCTAGCCAAATAAATAAATAAATACATTTTTGGATTTTAATAGGCAAATGCTTAAGAGTCTATGATTGGATGCAGTGATTATTTTGTTTCTAACATGTTATATGTTTGGCAACAGTTCTTCCCATCCTAATTGATGGAGTATAGCTTTTCATTTCTCAAACAACCATGTAGGAAGACATAGCATGGCCATATTCCAGGATAATAATAATGTCAAGATTCATCAGGCTCAAATTGTGAAAGAATGGTTGGGAGGGAGCATGAATAATCATTTTCACACATAAATTGGCACCAGTCCATTAAAATTCATTAAAAGTCTTTGGGATGTGCTGGAGTCGACTTTACAGAGTGCTGGACTCATACAAGATATTGACCAAAAATGTATGCACTTCTTGATGGAAATAACATCACAACATTTATTTCCATCAAGAGGTGCATCAATTTTTGGTCAAGATCTTGTGTGTGTGTAACATACATAATATAATTATAAATATATAAACATATTATAGTTAAATGTTTTGTTTTAATGTATTATCTGCTTCATTTGATTTTAAGTGAAATGCTTAATTAAAACAGTATACAATGACATTTTATGACATTTGATATGTCCCTCTTTTGCTGAAAACAACACACAATCTGGAATGGAATCAATAACATCTGTCCGTCAGAACATTCAACTGCTTCACAAAATTGCTTATTCGATTACTGCCATAGAAATATTGAAGAATCTTAGATTTTTCTTAAACATTTTCCCCCTGTTATATATGCTTTGGTTTGAAAGTTTTAGATGAGTACAACTTAGCATTTTACTAGAATTAATTCCAGGTTTTAGACTGAATAACAGATTTTCGGTGTGGTCTCAGACATTAGGACCACACTGTCAAACAAACACACACACACACACACACATATCCAAGTCCACTAGAAGATGCTTGTCTGCAGCATGTTGAACTGGTATGTGAGCGCGCTCTAGTGGTGTGAGGGCGCACAGACAACCACCACATATATTTTGTGTAATAATAGGCATTTCCAAAGTTGGTCCCATTTCATTTATTGTGCAAATGATGGGCGTTTACATATTTAACATGTTTTAAATGCAGACAAGAGCAGTCAAAGACAAGGACAGATAGAATACTCTGTTACACACATATCATGGAATATAAAACCGAAGACAACATAAGGAGAACAGCAGAAAGCAGGATGCATCACACATACATGAAGGGTGTCCGACTCTGTGCGGGAAACACCCTCTGGCTTCTCATGACATGTTGCTCCTGCTACCGATGATCACAATCACAAACAAGGCGGACTGACTGTTATAACATTACACAGAATTAGGAGACAAAAGACAGAAGAACAAAAAAAGTGTTATCCACACACATTCACATTCAAAGAGATGAACATTGAGTTCATAGTGAATAGCTGTTGGTAATAAAACAGCTTGCAGCATCTCTAATGAACTTAAATCTAAAAAGCAGATAAAAGCAGCCTCCTCATGTGATCAGAACAGAACTGAACATCAGAGGGACGGTACCGTCATTCATGAGGATATCATCTCAATGTGTTATACGCATAACTAATGTTGCACAAATATTGAAGTAACATACCTCTGTTAAGGCAACCAGTATCATCTGTAAGAATCTGTCTGAACCCCCCTTAAATGTCAAATATTAAATAATACCATTATACTTTCAGTGCTGAAAAAGAATAAATAATACAATAAAAAACGACAAAGTCGTTAAAGCTTCAGAAAAGAAATAAAGTGCAAAACGTGCATTAAATTAGTACACATTACCAACAGTGAACCTCAACCTCATAAGTGGCAATCTATGTGAGAAAAAAACTATTCACACTGTGCAGATTAAAAAAAAAGTAGCAGTATTACAATATGAAACAGTAATATTAGGGTACAGCTGGCAGAATAAAAATGAATCCACTTATACGAGACTACGAAGAGATTTGAAATCATTAGTCAACACAAGTGCAGCATTTCTCCTTTCAGTTCATGAATGAGTTTCTTTCTTCTGCTGAACAAACAAGAAGATATTTTGAAGAATGTTGGTAACCAAACAGTTTCTGGTCCCCACTGACTTCCATAGTATTTTTGTTCTAAACTATGGAAGTCAATGGGGACTAGCAACTGTTTGGTTACCAACATTCATCTTCTGTTCAACAGAAGATGGAACTTTATGGTGAGCAAATAATGACAGAATTTTCATTTTTAGGTGAACCATCCCTTTAAGACTCCTGCCACCGAGAAAAAAAAATAACAACGCAATAACGCATCTCAGCAGAGGAGGATCAGCCACCTGCTACTCTAGAACAGGTAAAAAATGAACAGATCTGCAGGTGAGACAGAACAGCAAGATAGACCACATCACAGATGCTTGAATTGCTCAATGGCTTGCAAAAAAAAAAAAAAAACACTCCAAATCAAAATCTGAGTTAGATGAGAAAGCTGCATTTATCCAGCGACCAGAGGATTAAAAGCTATGTTTAAAAAAAGTTTATTTGCAGGTCATCCAGAACACGTCTAAATCTGCTTCAGAGCCATCTGAGGGAATAAAGGAAAATGGGATGCTAAATATTACTCATATTAAATATAAGTCACTGAAATGGCTACTAGTTATAGAATGCTGGGGTTTTTTTTTGTCTTCAAATGGTTCAACCCACTCATAACTGGTTCTGACGGGTTCTTTACACAACCGTTCAAACATTTAGGGTCAGTAAGATTTTTTTTTTTTTTTTTTTTTTTTTTGAAGGAAGAGAATAATTCAGCAAGGACGCATTCAATTGATAAAAAGTAACTTTTACATTGAAAAAAAAAAAAAACAGTTTGGCACATCTTAATAGTTTAAACATTTAATATTTTAATTTAAATTACTTATTTGTAGTTTTTTTTTTATATATATATATATATAGTATATATAAACTAAAATATGTGTATCACTGACTGGCTGTCCATATGACAGTGCGCAGTTTCATGAACTTAAAGGACAACTCCGGCGCAAAATGAACCTTTGGTCTAATAACACATTGGTACCTAGTCAACCGTTCTCTGAGATTTGTTTTCATGATAATCGAATGTAAAGAGTTTTATCTCTAAAAACTGTTTAGCGTATACCACTAGTAATGGGGGCATTTAATAAGCTATTTCTTTTTACTTATTAAATGCCCCCATTACTAGCGTTATACGCTAAACAGTTTTTAGAGATAAAACTCTTTACATTCGATTATCATGAAAACAAATCTCAGAGAACGGTTGACTAGGTACCAATGTGTTATTAGACCAAAGGTTCATTTTGCGCCGGAGTTCTCCTTTAAGCAGTTCATGTGGAGAATGGGTCTTGTGATCAGCTCACCTTCTGAGCTGCTTCTGCAAACTGCTTGGCTCCGTGGAAGAAGTGTCCGGTCTTCTCCTCCGCCCTCATCAGACGCTCCCCGCGCTCACTCAGAACCTGACTGGCCCTCCGCATTACATTCCCCATCTTCTTCCCGGCCGGAGGGGACTGGCTACTCCTGCTCCTGGATGCTTTAACAGCTGTTGCTGCTGAGGAAAGAAGCACAAACACATACAAGTCAAGTCAAGCTCCAAAAACTCTGTATTAGATACTAAACCAACTTAATATGGAAGAAATAAGTATTAGGGAATTCGGCTCTGGCATAAAGCTGCTGATTATTATTTTTTTTAAATAAATTAATACTTTTATTCAGCAAGGACACATAAAAAAAAACATTTAAGATATTTATAATATTACAAAAGATTCAGCAAATCTATTCATCAAAGAATCCTGAAAAAAGTATCACGTTGCTAGAAAACTATTAATTAGCACAACATTTTTCAACATTGATAATAATAATAATGAATGTTTCTTGAGCAGCAAATCATCATAATAGACTGATTTCTGAAGGATCATGTGACTCTGAAGACTGAAGTAATGATGCTGAACATTCAGCTTTGCATCACAGAAATATATGACATTTTAAAATATATTCAAATAGAAAAGTGGTATTTTAAATTTGACTGTATTTTGTGTCAAATAAATGCAGTCTTGGTGATTGGAATACACTTGTAATGTAATTCTGCAATGCCATTAACTGATCGTATTAACTGCAAAAAGAAACAGACATGGCAGTATATGATTAGAGCTGAGGTGTGTGGACTGGGACGTTGCATTTTGCGCCTCCAGGGCAGCTTGGCACCTCTCCCATTCATTACACACCATTCATCCATGATCCGCTGTGAAGGCTGGTGCCACTATACTCATCCCCGCTCCTCTCCCCCTCCTCAACGCCTGTCTTTGTGTCCCCGCGCATGCCTTCATCTGAACAAAGTGGCCTCTGAACTAATCGGGCCCTCTTTGCAATGGGGCCATTCTCTGCCCCTGCCGAGAGATCTATCACAACACTACAAACAACCAGCCGACAAAGCGCCCTCTCTTCCTGCCTGATCTGACCCACACAACTCCACAGACAGGAACGGATGGAAACCAATGGAACTGCCTAAAAGATGCATTTGTGATACATTGTCGAGGGGTCAATGATCATTTTTTTTCTAGTAAATGAATATGCTATTCATATGACACAATATATACACAATGACTTGAATACACCTCTTCAATGACGAACGTGTTGGTTTTCATTTGACATTTTAATAAAGCCAAAAATGTCTTCAAGGTGACAATGACTGAAAATAAGCCATTTAATGAGGGCAATAATAATAATAATTATTGTATTTATAATAAAAAAATAAGCATTCTTGAAAAGAAATCATTATTATTATTATATAATATAAATATTCTACAAAAAATCTTGAGAAATCTTAAAATAATAATAGTTAAAAAGAAGCATTCTTAAACATATTTGAAAAATAGTTATTATTATTATTAAAAATAAGCATTCTTGAAAATAAATTATTATTATTATGCAAAATAAACATTCTAGAAAAAATATTGAAATAATAATAATATAATGATTATTATTATAGTAAGAAAAATAAGCATTCTTGAACATTTTTGAAAATGATTTATTTTTATTAAAAATGATTATTGAAAATAAATATTTAAATCATAATAATATATAATTATTATATTAGCAATAATAGAAATAAATATAACAATAATAAACACTTGAAAAATGTAAACCAATACTTACAATAATAATAATAACAATTATTATTATTATTATAAAAGTAAATATTTATCAATGTGTACCCATATTGTCCATGACTTTAAAGGTATTAAAATAATCGTTTTACTTAATGGCTGCACCAACATCATTCAATTTTTGTTTTGTTTTAAATGTATAAATTATTTTCACAACAATAAGACACTAACATGTTCTCAATGATTTTGGAAACACACACACACACACACACACACACAAATCCTACTAACCTTCACGCTGAAGCCGACCCTGGTTTGCAGTCATACTGCTCTTCATTCTCTTCAAAAAAATCTTGCAGCGGTAGATGACCATATTAACAGAACAAGCATCTAAAATATGGAAAAATACATTTTGTTTTGTTACAGATCTCAGGCTTTGTCCATACTAATTAATTCTGCCAAGAGGTCACTCCAGATATCCGGCTTTCTGAGCGCACTCACCTCCCATTAGCTTTTGCTGACAGTTGACAAAGGTAGTTTGGCATGGAGCACCAGGGCTCTTCTTGTTCTCCGGAGCTCCTGGTGTCTTCTGTTCTCCAGGGGTCGGTGCTTTGCCATGCTTTGCCTCCCAGTAGTTCTGACAAGCGTGATAAAGAACTTGCACAAACATGCATTTCTCTGCATCTGAGCCGGCCACCCACTGATCAGAGGTGCGATCGAACACTAGGTCGAACTCAGGAGTGTCCTAACAAAGATTCAGAGGAGTGAGAATAATGGAATGTACTGGGAATAAAAAGCTGCATTTAGAAGAATGGTCACCTTATCAGGGTTGATGCCGTCGACCTGGCGAAGCTGCTCCACAGACCATTGAGATCTTTTAGCAAACTGTCGCGTGCCCGGATACCTCTTGACTTTAGTGATGAGGACTTGAGCTGGTCGACTGTTGGCAACTACATGGAAACACGAGTCAATAAACTTATTTTGGCTCAATAAACTTATTTCTCAAACTCACTAGTTCAAATGCTTATAAAGACACATTACCTGACAAGCAGAGAAAAGTTGAGTAGTCCCTCTTGCGACTTGCATTGAGGAACGACAGTCCTTTCCTCTTCATCCTTCTCCTCACCTCAATGGCTACCAGTAACTTTTCATCTTTTGGTACGAAGATCTCACGGCTGATTGCTGACTGAATGTTCATCTTCAAAATGCCTTGAAAATATGCCCACAATGTATGAACAATAAATGTATTTTTTGCACCCAACAGGAAATTTTGGAATATAGAATTTAAGGCAATTGACATCAATAAATATATACAGTGCTGCTGGGTAGTAATTGATTTCATGTAATCTGGATTACGTAATCAGATTCCAAAAATGAAGTACTGGTAATTAGATTATATTACATTTTAAAATACTTGCTATCAGACTGCATTACTACTTTACTTTTCTATTGATTACATGTTATTCGCACAATGGCAGTAAACTATTCATATTTCATTGATTCTACTTGTTTATGTTTTAAATTTTCCTTTCTAAATATGGTCTATATGGTCAGAAGGTCTTTCAGGTTTGTGGAATCGCACACACAGACCAGCCACTAGTCATGTGACTATCACTGAAAACTGAGAGCCACAGCATTTGATCACTGGTTTTACGGAAATAAATTCACTTTTAACAAGTGTTTTCTCAACATCTAATCAGCTCCTGATGAACAATTGAATTATTATTTGAATTATTATCACTCAGTGAGTCATTTAACCACGCATTACTGTCGTTGGAAGGCTTTTGGCTTTCAAACTAATGTACAAGTTCACTTCATTTTATATATGCAATGCAGGGATTTTTTGTATCAACTTATTGAAAAAAATATCCTCTTTGCCTTAATATTTACTTAAAGTAAGCCCTGAGATTTTAAGTCAATAAATTAGTTCAATAATAAAATTAAGTCAATAAAAACAATACAATTATGTTCATGGTTCTCTGATGTCGGTTAATGGTCACATGACATGCAGGTAAACTATTTTTTTTTCTCTTTTTTTGGTAAATGTTTTCTTTTTAAAATAGTTACTTTAATTTATTTTGTAATTACTTTATAGCTTTGTATTAAACTCACGAACCCCAGTCTGGAAAACCCTGTTGTAATGTAATAGTTAATGCACTTCATGTTGTTGATAACAAAGAATATATATTTTCTTTTTCTTCGTATTTTTATCAATATGGTACAATATCAAATTAACGTTATAATGAGTTAAGTTCAAAGTAATCGATGAGTAGTCAGAATACATTACCTAAAATTAGTAGCCTAAGATTACATTACTAAATTTAAAAAGTAAATTAAAAAGTTTAAAAAGTATTTAGAAAGTAACGTTATATAATACGGTCAAAAAGGTATCTTATTTTAAAATTTATTTAAGATGTTTAAAACTATTACGTTTGATTGTTAAATGTTTTTTTGTTAAAAAGTGAATAAATTACAGACCTCTTAGCTCACCTAGACCTTCTGCTTGATCTTCCTGAGGCTTTCTTCCTCCCTCGAGCCTTAAAGAGCAGTGAGAAGTTTCCAGAAGCCCAGTCTGTTTCTGCTGTTTCTCAAGCCATCTTTATCCCGCATGTGTTCTACTGAGAGACTGCAGGGCGTGTGGAGAGTCCCGGAGAAAACCCACAGGCTGTGGCCTATATCCCAGTGAGCTGCCTACTGAGAGAGCGCTTCAGGGCATCACAAGAGTTTGAGTCACTGAGCTCAAACACGCAGACTAGAGTAACGGCTTGGGTTTGAGACAGAGCCACAGTCACTCCAACACACTCGCTGAGGATCACGTGCAGCCCGGTTGGTAAGGATCGGACAGATATCTTTTTAATAGAAAATATTTTTAATTGAAAAACGTATTTATAGTTGTCTGTTTATGAAGTCAATATACATGACTTTATAAAAACTGTAAAGAAGTTTTTATTTTTTTTAAAGTTGACTGAACACTTCATAAGTTCAAACAAAATACATTAATAATATGCATTTGAATGAATTGTTCGATTTGAATTGATTCTATATTCTTGTTTGATCGCAGTAGGATTGGTTCCTAATATAACATAGCCTAATAAAATATACCGTTCAAAAGTCTCGGCTCAACACTATTTTTTATGTTTTTGAAAGTCATAATGCTCTTTATTTGCTCGATAAAAAATACAGTAAAACATTATTATTGCAAAATATTACAATTTAAAATAGCCTGTTTTCTTTTTGTAATATATTATCAAATGGAATTTATTCCTGTGATCAAAGCTGCATTTTCGAGATGGTCCTCACTGCAGACCATGAAATCCAGGGGGAGGAGTTGGATTTAGATCCAACTCCTCCCACCTTACATTCCTAAACCTACCCATCTCCACCCCCTGATCCCTAACCCCACCCCTAATCCTACCCATCTCACCCCCTGATCCCTAACCCCACCCCTAATCCTACCCATCTCACCCCCTGATCCCTAACCCCACCCCTAATCCTACCCATCTCCACCCCCTGATCCCTAACCCCACCCCTAATCCTACCCATCTCCACCCCCTGATCCCTAACCCCACCCCTAATCCTACCCATCTCCGCCCCCTGATCCCTAACCCTACCCCTAATCCTACCCATCTCCACCCCCTGATCCCTAACCCCACCCCTAATCCTACCCATCTCCACCCCCTGATCCCTAACCCCACCCCTAATCCTACCCATCTCCACCCCTTATATCTGGATCCAACTCCGCCCCCTGGATCTCGTGTACTGCAATGAGGTGCTACTGGAATTTTCAGCATTACTCCAGTCTTCAGTGTCACATGATCATTCAGAAATCATTCTAATATGATGATTTGCTGCACATGAAACATTTCTTATTATTAGCATTTAGCAATGTTGAAAACAGTTGTGCTGCTTAATATTCATGTGAAATTTACTTTGTCATATTTGTCACTTTGTCAATAGAAGTTCATAATTTATGTCATGTTAACTTTCACCGTCCAGCTAGAGGGACTCGTGGCACTTTTTTTCATTGCCCTTTTCCCCCCACATATTTTATTAATCATCACAAATTTGGTAAGCTAATTCATCCTGTGAAAACCATTTTGAAATCAAACACTGCGTTACCATGGAAACAGTACTTAAATTCTTTTTAGCAGGCTCCTCCCCCCATTAGTGGCGATTTCATGTTTCATGACAAAATATACTGCAACCGCACTATTTTATAATCAAAACCTTTTCTAATCTTGACAAAACACATATCGTTGGAAAGGTCTGAGACTCAAGGTTTCATGTTTGGTGATTATTTTGTGACAGAATTGTATTAATTTGTGACAGGAGAATGCATCAACAACAAACAAAAAAATCATGGAATGTGGCTGTCACCCGGTGGCTATTTTTGGTACAACACTGGTACAAATCTCATGGGAACTTTCATTTTTGTGATATCAACTTAAAATTTGGAACGCAACTTGGTTAGACATATGGCTTTGGTTTTATAGCAATTGAAGATTAAAAATTATTTTGTAAAATATTGTATAAAATAAAATACAAATATAATAAAAATACAATAAAAAAAGTAAAATGTAGCAATAATCTGCTAGGCCTGTATTCAGCATTCATGAACTAAAAACATTTCAGTTTGGATAGTGTATTTTAACGTCTATGATCAACAGTTAAGGGGTTCAATATTATCCTGCAATTTTATCATTTTCATCATTATCATAGCCCAGCTGTAAAGGCACAACAATATCTCAAATTATTAGCATGCCATTGGTGGAATAGAAAATAGAAATTTAAAACGTATAAGCAAGCGCACAAGCTCAATTTACCATCTTAACACAAATAACAAACACTGGCCCAAAATATTGTATTAGTATTAGCGAATACAAAAAAAAAAAAAGACAGGTGGATTTACATCAAAATACAGTTGAGTTTTATATTATGCACAGCATTTGACATTAACAACAAAATATATGTGAAGCATTTAACCTTCCATTTTAAAAGTGTATAGTATAGGCTACTGGTGACCTGCGACACAACCCACCGGCTGTCTATTGAGTATTGCTAAAACTAAATGACTCCTCAGAGACTAATAAAGTTATATTGCTTTCCATTTACTTCAAGATCCACAGCAACACTAGTTGATCCTATATATTAACTATAGAGTCAGGATTTAAAAGTAATTCACAGAATGAGACAGAGCAGCCGGTCGATATCAACTTTAATGAAAATCACGAGGTTCGTAAAAGAGGAACAGCTCGGCGTTCACTGAGGCTAAACATGAAGAGACACGCTGGAGTCCAGTTCTAGTATATATGCACATAATGCAGACCGTACCCTCTGACCACAGACCTAATGAAGATCTCACTGTTCGGTTTATTGGCACATTCAAGGGTGAGGTAAGGAGACATGTTAAGTGCTTTTCTCTTGTCATCGTAAAGGCATGGGGGTGTCGATTTCCAGGACTACTGTAAACAAATCATACAAAATGAATACATAAAACCTGAACTTAACACAAAAAAAAAAACGAAAAAAAAAAAAAAAACGATAGTCATTTTTTAAAATGGCAAAGTCTTTGTGACGGTGTGGTTCTTTAGTGCAGTAATACATTAGAAAACAGTTTGATATGCCGATTGTACATTGTTGGCATAAAAGAGTGTGCCGTATATGAAAAATGTTAAGTGTTTCAACCTGACAGAACTAACAGTAGATCCACTTTTAAGGATTTTTTTCATTTAAGCCTCTGTGGACTTTCTCTTTCATGCATGGCAAAGCATAAACTCTAATTCGGTGGAGATAATCATAGCAAAGGGTGCAGTTCAAATATGCAGTAGATTTCAGTGTCTATCATGCGATTGTAGAGGAGAAACTAATGTCTCGGTGTATCAGGAAAAAAAAGTAGTGGGAACATGACCGGAAATGTCTTTAAAGGAATAGTTCACCCAAAAATACCAATTCTGTCATCATTCTCCCCAATGAGATTTCCAAACCCATATGACTTCCTTTCTTCAATGTAAGACAAATGGATAATTTCTTAAAGGGATTGTTCAGCCCCCCCAAACAAAATTAAATTCTGTTATAATTTACTCACCCTTTGTTCCAAACCTGTACAAGTTTCTTTCTTCTGTTGAAATAAAAATAATACATTTTGAAGAATGTTGGTAACCAGAGAGTTGACAACTTGACGGTAGCCATTGACTTCCATACTAGAATTAAAAAAAAAAAAAAAAATACTATGAAAGTCAATGGTTACCAAAACTCAAAATATATTCTTTTGTGTTCAACAGAAGAAAGAAACTCATACAGGTTTGTAACAACATTAGGGTGAGTAAATGATGAATTTTCATTTGTGGGTGAACTATCCCTTTAAGAATGTATACTGGATTAAGAATATGCAACATGTTTCGGGAATACCGAATTAAATTTAGGTATGTTCACATTAAATTCACACGAATGGGAATATTTTCCCTTTTATGAAACTTTATGGTGCCTTTTGAAACATAAAAGCTTCAGTCTTCAAAGTTATTATCGTTAGCTAAAACTAAAAGCATTAAAAAAAAAAAACCGTTTAGTTACTTAATAAAATAAGAGACGACTGAAATAAATTAAAAAGTCAATATTTCTCATTTTCCCTTTAACAAAGCACTAAATTAACTAAAATGCACTAAAGTTTTAGTACATTTTAAACCAAAATTTACAAAACCTGTATAGACATTAAAAAAAAGAAAAAGAAACTAATAAAAATGACAAAAACAAACAACAAAATTACTAAAAGTTTAACTAAAATGTAAATGAAAGCAGAAAATATGACAAAAGTTAATCAGTTATACCAAAATAAAACTGGTCTCCATTTATTGTAATAGCATGGACAAAAGCGACTAGTAAAATTCTTCAAAATATCTCCTTTTGTAGTCACATGGATTTGGAACAACATGAGGGTGAATACTGTATATAATGATGTGGTTATGTGCACTGCTTCCATCGACTATCAACTCAATATTTGGCCACTTTTAGGAGAGATGCAGATTATTGTTTACCATCTAAATAAAGTAAACATACGAGTAATGCTTAATTTATAAAAAAAAAAAATCTTAAAAAGTATAATTGTTAGGCCAATAAATAGATCACATCGGATGCATTCCTCAAACCCTTCTGATTGTGAACCTCCAATTCAGCAGATTCGTGTCAGTCATACTATCCAACCACAAGTTAAGTTTATACACATCAGTCAATATGTAGAGTATGCAACTTTGCGAAGCTTCAAGGTGTGAATTGTCCAAGCTGAAACAAGTAGGATCATTGTCATAATTTCATCGATCGAGGTTAAGAACAATCCTAGTTTGCGGATGTAGGGGAGAGAGTAAGTCTCTTCCATAGGTGTGCTTCTAAAATTAAGGAGAAACAAGGCAAGGATCCCTGACGCACAGTGAACAAGGTCTGCTAAACTAAATTAAGGGAGTGATCAAGGGTGCGAGAGTTCATATGTGTGTGTGTGTGTGTGTGTGTGTGTGTTATGATTCAGAGTTGTCCTCTGTCATGTCATTCGCTTCATTTGGCCTGTACATGAACGTTAGCAGAAACAGAGCCACATCGTGTGAGCACCAATAAGCTGTGTGTGACGTCACCGCTGACCAATAGCGGCTCTCCACCAGGCCCTCCCTCAGCTCAAAGTCGATGCGTTTCTCAAGCTCCACTGCAAAACAGTAAAAAGAAGGACAGGTGTTAGAGGTCTGATGAATTTCTCTGCACAAGCAAATTTACAAATCATCAAAGATCTCTATGGAAGCCGTTTCCGCCTCAGTAAAAGTAAAAAAAAGAGTAAAAAACTATTTCGCGCGACTGCGACTTTGTCGTAATTTTATATCAAACAATTTGACTTTATGCCACACATTGTAACTTTATAGTTAGCAAATTATAACTTATCTCTCCAAATTGGGACTGTGGGCCCTATCATACACCCGGCGCAATGCGGCGCCAGGCGTGACTCAAGTGTTTTTTGCTAGTTTCAGCCCGACGTCGCTATCATTTTTTTTATCATTACGTCCTTCGCCACGTTGTTTAAATAGCAAATGCATTTGTGCGCCCATGGGTGTGCTGGTCTGAAAACGAGGTGTGTTCAGGCGCATTGTTGGCACCTTGCTATTTTGAGGAAACTGAAATAGACTGCGCCATTGACCAACTGAAACCTGGTCTAAAGTCAACAGCGCAGTATTTTTGTGTTATTTAAACAAGAGTGTGTTAGTAATGTGTGCCTATAGGCGGGTCCACAACGCGTGTTCACCTTGTCCCGTAGATGGTCTGCTTGCGCGCTTTAACCTCGCGCATGAGCAGATCCGTTTCCTCTCTGGAGAAGCGTTCAGTTTTTTTGCATACAAATTCCGCCATGTAAATAGCGAATCCGCCATGGCGCGAGCGCAAATGGCTTTTAAAGGGAATGGGAGATGAGACTCGGATTGGTTTATTGCACGTTACGCCCAAAACACACCCATTACTCATTAAGAGAATAGGGACAACCCTTTTAGACCATGCGCCGGGTGTGCCGACCATTTTTCCCATCGTTGAACTAGCAAAAGTGGATTCGGACACGCCCTGAGTGCACTTGCGCCGTACGCATTAGACCATGCGCTTAGAACGTTATAATAGGGCCCTATATCTTGCAGTCACAGTGTGATGTTATAGCCTAGCTAACAATTGTGATTTGCAAGTGCAACTGTTCTTCGTAATTGCGACTTTATATTTTATAATAGCTATGTTTCCATCCAAAGATTCAAATTTAACAAAATTGTAATAAAACACTTGCAAATAAAGCACCATTTCCATCCCATGTTTTAAAGAGAAGAAAATGATCACTTCCTGGGAAATTGGCGCAAAAAATAAATGACTCCCGTCTCAGAGCTTCGCGTTATCTTGCGTTCAGTTGCCTGATGTTTAGGAACGCAATCGTGTGAGACAATTCTGGAAGGTGATTGTATCGAACTATTTTGATGACAGACTTTGGCTCAGGCATTTCAGAATGACCAAACCAACATTTGAGATGCTGTGCAATGAAATTGGTCCACTGGTTAGTCCAATTACATCCAATGCTGAGGCAAAGTCATGGCAGTTTTTTGTTGCGCATCAAGAAATGTATTTTCTTTTATGATTGTTTCCATCATAGTTAATGTGCATATCTTCTTATCAGATAAAAAAAATTTGAGCGCACAATTTCTTTTCTTTTTTTGGGGTGTTTCCATCCAGAATTTAAGTGGATGGTTATGTAGCTAATGTGACTATTTCTTAGAATTGAGACTTTATATCTTCAACTTGTGAATTTATATATTAAAATGTGATAGTAATTTCATATTGTAACTTTGTGAACATGATTTGATATCTCGCAATTGTGATTTTGTTTCTGGCAACTGTGACTTTATATCTTACAATTTTATATCCGCAACATTTCACATCGCGCAATATGTTTTTCATAATTGCGACTTTATATCTCAAACTGTGTCTTTATATCTGGCAATGTGACTATATTTCGTGACTTTGTTTCTTATAATTGCAACTTTATTTCTTGAAATTGTGAGTTTATTTTATAAAATGGGGCTATATCTTTAAGTTGACTTTATATCTCAATTTAGTCTTTAAATCAGCAGTGCACAATTTCTGAGCCACTTACAGGAGGAGTTATCCATAATGATAGAGGCCGAATGCGACATGCTGGTGTCTCCTGCCTTCTCCTCGATTTTCTCCTCAATCTTCTCCTCCGGTTTATCGTCTAACTCCACAGATCTGCCCTCTTCCCCTTTCTCACATGTCCCACCTTCTGAGTCTGATGGCTCCTCCTCCACACCCCCCACCTGTCCACTCGAGCGGGAAAATCTGGAGAACAGGATACCTCCGATGCCTTTACCTATACTTGCCGCTCCTGTGGAAAAATACACATGCATGTAGTTACTGTTACATTTTAAAGCCCTGTTCACACCAAAAGTGATAACTATAATTGAATTGAATATCTTTTTTGTCACCGTATACTTGTATACAACACAATTTGTAATACTACTTTACTGTTGCATTGCCACTCAAATGCAAAAAACAACTATGGAGTTTTTTTGGATTACAGAAAATGATTTCTTAGACACCCCAGTCTGCAGGACTTGCCGATCAACTGTGAGCACAAAAGGGGGCAATACCAGCAACCTGTTCACCCACCTCCATGTCCATCATCCTGCGGATTTCACCACTATACAGAGAGTAAGTTGCGATTATTTTGCTAGTCCAGAAACAGAAAATGTTACATTAATCTGTTAACTGACGACGCCTCTCTGTGTTTGTTATATTTACATCCCTTGAGGCTTTTAGTCCAAAAGTGTGCTAATTCGGATAAAAACTTATGGATTATCATATGTTTACTTCAAATAGCTTTAGAGAGGAATATTTTTGTTGTATTTTTACCCAAAATAGGGTGATTGAAACTTGTTTCATTCATACTCAACACTGGAGGGCACACTTGCGCAGAAAGTCCACAAGTGAGAAACACATAGAAGTATTAAACTTTTGACTATCCAGGAAATCTCTAATATGGACAAAGACATCCAGCCATCGCTTTAGCTGTATAAAATGGAGGTAGAGACATTTTGACTGATTAAACATGAAGAGAATTAATACATCATTGTGACTATGGAATATGGTTTATCTGTGTTCTTCATGCCATCTTGATTATTGTCGTAAGGATAATGTATATAGGCTAATGCAATGCTAATAGACATAGTCTTTATCACTGTATAGAATACTATAAAATAATCATTTCTGCCTCATTCTGTGATAAGAAGCCACATCCAATCACTCGATTGACGCTATAAAGTGATTTTGGAGTATAATATGCTTTTATTCTCATAAATTGTATTTTGATGCTGTGCTAAGCTAAAAAAAAACGTAATGTTAGCATTTTAGTCTCCTCTGAATGAAATCATATAGCATGGTCTTAAAAATGTTCCATAAATCTCAGAATTTTATCATTTATTTAATGAATTCAAAAGATATGACAACAAGCTGCCAAATGTTTTCTTTCAAATTAGCTTACAATATTTGAAGTCCGAAGGCTTCATAAACTATGTATTTTAATTTGTGTATGCCATTTCTTAGGTTAAGGTATTAGTTGTGTTGTAAAACTTATTAACAATGAACTTGACTCTCTTGGTTATTTCTTAGGCAGTTTCAAAGAAGCCAGAGAAAGCCAGAGTCTCCATTGTTGTATGCAATGGGCAATGCAACAGTAGAGTGTTGTATTCATTGGCTAAAAAAAAAAGCAAAACACAAAATAAACAAAGTAAAGATGAATTTGACTAATAACATTGTTGTTTTTTCCCCCTAAGGTTTCTATAGATATCGTTACCGTGAGTTCTTTTGGCCTCGATAACCAGCCCTAATTGCACATAATGGATATTGTGTAAATTCAAGACTTAGCAGCATTTAGTGCAACTATGGCTCTGGGGTAAAAACTATTTTTAAGTCTGTTTGTCCGTGATTTTACTGTCCTGTGGCGACCAGGGTTGGAGGCTTTCTTGAGGGAGCGGGAACTGTACAGATGTTCCAAGGAGGGGAGAGGGCAGCCCATGATAATCTGGGCAGAGGTGATGACCCTCCGAATTGCTTTCCTCTCCGCTACAGTGCAGCTACTAAACCCCACACAAATACAGTATTTTAGTATGCTCTCTATGGAGCATCGGTAAAAAGACAGATTTTCAGTCAGATGGTTCTTCCAGAGTATCCCCAGGAGGTAAAATCTCTGCTGTGCCTTCTTTATTAGTGCTGTGGTATTGGCAAAATAATTTAACGCAAATAAATGACTGGAGCACGTGAAATTGCGTCATTAATCTAATTTACGTCACGCAGTTAGATGATCTTAGAAGTCGGGAGTTCGTCACATTAAGCATCTACAATGGCACAAGCACCTGTGACCCTGGTAGGAGGAAATTTCTATCCTTACCTTTTAATTTCCGATTTCGCTTCTACGTTTGCGATCAGATCATTTTAAGCGCTAAACTAGGGGAAAGATTTCAGAACCATAATCAAGTAAGCAAATTAATTCAAACAATCAGTCCAAAACATTCGGATGCCTGAAATGTCTGAATTATATGGACTCCTTATATAACTTGGGTATTTGTAAGTACTTTTTTGGAAAGACACCTAAATTTACCATGAAAAAAAAGCTTTTGTTACAGTTTTGTAAGAATCACCCTTCACTCTGATTGTTTGCTTTGCTGGATATAGCAAATAAAGATAAAATTAACGTGTTAAACAAGATAAATGGTGTATGCTTAACTTTATGATTAGTGAACGCTAATCTTCATTTTAGAGTGAGCTATATTTGGAAATTATACATAAATAATAATTTACATAAAACTGAAAACCATTCAATGATTGTATATATATATATATATATATATATATATACACTCACCTAAAGGATTATTAGGAACACCTGTTCAATTTCTCATTAATGCAATTATCTAATCAACCAATCACATGGCAGTTGCTTCAATGCATTTAGGGGTGTGGTCCTGGTCAAGACAATCTCCTGAACTCCAAACTGAATGTCAGAATGGGAAAGAAAGGTGATTTAAGCAATTTTGAGCGTGGCATGGTTGTTGGTGCCAGACGGGCCGGTCTGAGTATTTCACAATCTGCTCATTTACTGGGATTTTCACGCACAACCATTTCTAGGGTTTACAAAGAATGGTGTGAAAAAGGAAAAACATCCAGTATGCGGCAGTCCTGTGGGCGAAAATGCCTTGTTGATGCTAGAGGTCAGAGGAGAATGGGCCGACTGATTCAAGCTGATAGAAGAGCAACTTTGACTGAAATAACCACTCGTTAGAACCGAGGTATGCAGCAAAGCATTTGTGAAGCCACAACACGCACAACCTTGAGGCGGATGGGCTACAACAGCAGAAGACCCCACCGGGTACCACTCATCTCCACTACAAATAGGAAAAAGAGGCTACAATTTGCAAGAGCTCACCAAAATTGGACAGTTGAAGACTGGAAAAATGTTGCCTGGTCTGATGAGTCTCGATTTCTGTTGAGACATTCAGATGGTAGAGTCAGAATTTGGCGTAAACAGAATGAGAACATGGATCCATCATGCCTTGTTACCACTGTGCAGGCTGGTGGTGGTGGTGTAATGGTGTGGGGGATGTTTTCTTGGCACACTTTAGGCCCCTTAGTGCCATTTGGGCATGGTTTAAACGCCACGGCCTACCTGAGCATTGTTTCTGACCATGTCCATCCCTTTATGGCCACCATGTACCCATCCTCTGATGGCTACTTCCAGCAGGATAATGCACCATGTCACAAAGCTGGAATCATTTCAAATTGGTTTCTTGAACATGACAATGAGTTCACTGTACTAAAATGGCCCCCACAGTCACCAGATCTCAACCCAATAGAGCATCTTTGGGATGTGGTGGAACGGGAGCTTCGTGCCCTGGATGTGCATCCCACAAATCTCCATCAACTGCAAGATGCTATCCTATCAATATGGGCCAACATTTCTAAAGAATGCTTTCAGCACCTTGTTGATTCAATGCCACATAGAATTAAGGCAGTTCTGAAGGCGAAAGGGGGTCAAACACAGTATTAGTTATGGTGTTCCTAATAATCCTTTAGGTGAGTGTATGTGTGTGTGTTTATTTATACATACATATATATATACCTTGAAGATTTATTATTGAGAAGGGTGTTTCTAAATCTTCAGTTGTGTGACACTTGCTAATTGCTTTCTATTGATCCGATGCTTTGCTGAGTTGTTTCTGTTTATCGCTTTCCACATTCAAATCAAAAGCTTTAAACTGCAGATGCTCAGTAATTGAAGGCAGACCGCCATTATCTCGATATTTGGGAACCGCAATTCTAATACATCACACACTATACATCCTGCACTCCCTGCAACTGTTTTACACTTCCAGTCATCTTTAACGATCTTCCTCTCCATCTCACCCATGAAGCTGGCCTTGCCCAGGTTGGTAATAGACTCGCCGTAGTGTCTGCGGGGCTGTGGAGGGGAGGTGCATGGGCTCGGGAGGCTCTCCGTATCGGACACATAGGCACTTTCCTTTGACGGATTCAGTAGAGTGGGACGGATCTGGTCATATGGTGTGGGGCTGGTGGTGTTGTACCTAAAAACATTTTTTTTTTAAATCTATGTTTACACGTACGTATGTACAAAAAATGTTTTTTATTGATAAAAAACATTTCTTATTGATTACTTTAACCTTTATGATTATTAGTGAAAAATAAAAAGGAAAAAAAATAATTAACAAATTCTTCTGATTAAAATATTTTCTAAAATTTAAATTGAGGTAAAGCATCGTTTTACCCACCAGTGAATCTGGACAGGTGATATATTGCTGTAATGCTTCAGGATGAGAGGCTCCAACCTGTATGCCTGCAGGAAACCATTGGTTTTTATTTATTTGATTTATGTTATTCATATTTTCATATTCATATTTTCATATTTAGATGTTATTCATATTTTCTGACTGATATTTGGATATTATACAACTTTAATTACAAAAAAATATGAATGCACCGCATTAAACTGTTTATATAAAGCAATGAAAAAAGAAATGCATAACGTTTAAACTAACATCTATATATTTTGACGTTTTTTCCCTCTTTTGTTCTCTCCTTTATTTGTACTCGTGTGTGTGTGTATATATGCAATTCATTGGTCTCTTACTTTGTATAAGCTCCTATGTCTTGTTTATAAAAAATAAATAAAAAATAAATACACTAACATTTAAAAATCTTATATAATTTCATACATTACATAAATAATTATGAATAAAACAGCATAATGTATGTACAGAATAGTTTAATACAAAGAGCCACACAAAGTCTCAAATCTTGAGACATGTTTTTTAAAATTTGAACTTTCAATTTTGAACATTACACAATAGCTTTATATGCTGAACAGATTTAGGCTTTTATTCACATATAAACATTCCTCGACTCAGACATAAGTTATGATAAATGGAAGCTCAAGCATGTTCGCTTGACGTGTAATAACCAATGAGGTTCATTCTCGTGTTACGCAGCACGTTTGAGCTTCAGCAAGAACCAATGAGGTTCATTCTCGTGTTGCGCAGCACATTTGAGCTTCTGCAAGAACCAATGAGGTTCATTCTCGTGTTACGCAGCACGTTTGAGCTTCTGCAAGAACCAATGAGGTTCATTCTTGTGTTGCTCAGCACGTTTGAGCTTCAGCAAGAACCAATGCGGTTCATTCTTGTGTTGCGCAGCACGTTTGAGCTTCTGCAAGAACCAATGAGGTTCATTCTCGTATTACGCAGCACGTTTGAGCTTCCTCAAGAACCAATGAGGTTCATTCTCGTGTTACGCAGCACGTTTGAGCTTCCGCAAGAACCAATGAGGTTCATTCTCGTGTTACGCAGCACGTTTGAGCTTCAACAAGAACCAATGAGGTTCATTCTCGTGTTACGCAGCACGTTTGAGCTTCTGCAAGAACCAATGAGGTTCATTCTTGTGTTGCGCAGCACGTTTGAGCTTCAGCAAGAACCAATGAGGTTCATTCTTGTGTTGCGCAGCACGTTTGAGCTTCAGCAAGAACCAATGAGGTTCATTCTTGTGTTGCGCAGCACGTTTGAGCTTCAGCAAGAACCAATGAGGTTCATTCTCGTGTTGCGCAGCACATTTGAGCTTCAGCAAGAACCAATGAGGTTCATTCTCGTGTTACGCAGCACGTTTGAGCTTCTGCAAGAACCAATGAGGTTAATTCTTGTGTTGCTCAGCACGTTTGAGCTTCAGCAAGAACCAATGCGGTTCATTCTTGTGTTGCGCAGCACGTTTGAGCTTCTGCAAGAACCAATGAGGTTCATTCTCGTATTACGCAGCACGTTTGAGCTTCCTCAAGAACCAATGAGGTTCATTCTCGTGTTACGCAGCACGTTTGAGCTTCCGCAAGAACCAATGAGGTTCATTCTCGTGTTACGCAGCACGTTTGAGCTTCTGCAAGAACCAATGAGGTTCATTCTTGTGTTGCGCAGCACGTTTGAGCTTCTGCAAGAACCAATGAGGTTCATTCTCGTGTTGCGCAACACGTTTGAGCTTCTGCAAGAACTAATGAGGTTTGTTCTCAAGCGTCAAGCAGGTTCAGTTTATCTTCTGTTTATATTTGCTGATCAATGTTTATATGTGAATAAAAGCCTAAATTAAATCTGTTCATCCTATAAAGCGATTGAGTCACTTCAGGAAATTTTGACTAAATCTCTTCTTGACTAAATCTCTTCATTGTTAGTTCATATTAACTAATGTCAAGAAATGAAACCTCAGAAGTAAAATGTTTTGTAACACTTAACAATAAGACCTTTTTTTTTTTTTTTAATTGGCTCATAATATCTTTATGATAAAATAATTTGTATACTCCAAAAACCATCACTCACTACAGGATCAGTGGGATGGAAGATGTTGAAAAGCCGCTGGCAGATATATTTAGGTAGGATGTTGTCCTGCGTTCCGTCGGCTCCAGGACGGACACCTCGCAAAGCCAAGAAGACAGCCAGAGGAGATCCCATGCAGAAGAAGTTCTCCACCTACAACCCCAAATCACATGGTTTTTTACATGAAACTTACACAAACAGATGGTGGGGAGGAGAAGAGAAGGTTAATTTATACTAACATACCTTGAATTTCAGGGCTGGAGAGGGTCTTGAGGATGAGGTTTGGACATGCTGAAGCTTATCTTCCAAATCCTTCATTCTGCAGATGAATATTAAATTAGATTTTTGGAGAGGAACAGTACACACACCAGATTAACAGAGGGATTATCATTATGGAATAGAGTGTACACAAAACTAAAAACCTTTAAATAATACATAACCCTTTGAATCCATCGGAAACAACATGAGAGCAGTAAAATCAATGCAACTGGCAACTGAACAAATGGATAATACATTAAGAACTAACAGAAAAAGATTGAAAAGATAATCTTCCGAAATGTTAGTATATCGTACAGCTGAAATTAAAGTTAAAATAACAATAACAACTAGACTTTTACATTTTCTGAAGAAAACAAGAGTGCTGTGCAAAACTGGCGGCCACAATGCAAGAGTGGATGGTTATTATACATTGTTAAACAGATACTAAGGCAGGGCTGGGAAACTCTGGCCTACAAAATTCAATTTCCTGCAGAGTCCTAACCAACAAACACACCTGGACAAGCTAATCAAGGGCTGCGTCCCAAAGCTTAAAAATGCTGCATTCGGAGGATGCATTCTAAGGTAGGAAGGCATCAAGGCACGTCCAAATCCAATGTTAGCATGTTGATACTGTGTTCTGAGTGGCTGTTGGGTTACTTGCTAGTGTGTTCTAGGTGTATGTTAGCATGTTGATACTGTGTTCTGAGTGGCTGTTGGGTTATTTGCTAGTGTGTTCTGGGTGGATGTTAGCATGTTGATACTGTGTTCTGAGTGGTTGTTGGGTTACTTGCTAGTGTGTTCTGGGTGGATGTTAGCATGTTGATACTGTGTTCTAAGTGGTTGTTGGGTTACTTGCTAGTGTGTTCTAGGTGGATGTTAGCATGTTGATACTGTGTTCTGAGTGGCTGTTGGGTTACTTGCTAGTGCGTTCTGGGTGGATGTTAGCATTTTGATACTGTTTTGAGTGGTTGTTGGGTTACTTGCTAGTGTGTTCTGGGTGGATGTTAGCATGCTGATACTGTGTTCTGAGTGGTTGTTGGGTTACTTGCTAGTGTGTTTTGGGTGGATCATGTTAGCATGTTGATACTGTGTTGTGAGTGGTTGTTGGGTTACTTGCTAGTGTGTTCTGGGTGGATGTTAGCATGTTGATACTGTGTTCTGAGTAGTTGTTGGGTTACTTGCTAGTGTGTTTTGGGTGGATCATGTTAGCATGTTGATACTGTGTTGTGAGGGGTTGTTGGGTTACTTGCTAGTGTGTTCTGGGTGGATGTTAGCATGTTGATACTGTGTTCTGAGTAGTTGTTGGGTTACTTGCTAGTGTGTTCTAGGTGGATGTTAGCATGTTGATACTGTGTTCTGAGTAGTTGTTGGGTTACTTGCTAGTGTGTTCTGGGTGGATGTTAGCATGTTGATACTGTTCTGAGTGGATGTTAGCATGTTGATACTGTGTTATGAGTGGTTGTTGGGTTACTTGCTAGTGTGTTCTGGGTGGATGTTAGCATGTTGATACTGTGTTATGAGTAGTTGTTGGGTTACTTGCTAGTGTGTTCTGGGTGGATGTTAGCATGTTGATACTGTTCTGAGTGGATGTTAGCATGTTGATACTGTGTTATGAGTGGTTGTTGGGTTACTTGCTAGTGTGTTCTGGGTGGATGTTAGCATGTTGATACTGTGTTCTGAGTAGTTGTTGGGTTACTTGCTAGTGTGTTCTAGGTGGATATTAGCATGTTGATACTGTGTTCTGAGTAGTTGTTGGGTTACTTGCTAGCGTGTTCTGGGTGGATGTTAGCATGTTGATACTGTTCTGAGTGGATGTTAGCATGTTGATACTGTGTTCTGAGCCGTTGTTGGGTTACTTGCTAGTGTGTTCTAGGTGTATGTTAGCATGTTGATACTGTGTTCTGAGTGGCTGTTGGGTTACTTGCTAGAGTGTTCTGGGTGGATGTTAGCATGTTGATACTGTGTTCTGAGTAGTTGTTGGGTTACTTGCTAGTGTTTTCTGGGTGGATGTTAGCATGTTGATACTGTGTTCTGAGTGGCTGTTGGGTTACTTGCTAGTGTGTTCTGGGTGGATGTTAGCATTTTTGATACTGTGTTCTGAGTGGCTGTTGGGTTACTTGCTAGTGTGTTCTGGGTGGATGTTAGCATGTTGATACTGTGTTCTGAGTGGTGGTTGGGTTACTTGCTAGTGTGTTCTAGGTGGATGTTAGCATGTTTATACTGTGTTATGAGTGGCTCTTGGGTTACTTGCTATTGTGTTCTGGGTGGATTTTAGCATGTTGATACTGTGTTCTGACTGGATGTTAGCATGTTGATACTGTGTTCTGAGTGGCTGTTGGGTTACTTGCTAGTGCGTTCTGGGTGGATGTTAGCATGTTGATACTGTGTTATGAGTGGCTGTTGGGTTACTTGCTAGTGTGTTCTAGGTGGATGTTAGCATGTTGATACTGTGTTATGAGTGGCTGTTGGGTTACTTGCTAGTGTGTTCTAGGTGGATGTTAGCATGTTGATACTGTGTTCTGAGTGGCTGTTGGGTTACTTGCTAGTGCGTTCTGGGTGGATGTTAGCATGTTGATACTGTTTTGAGTGGTTGTTGAGTTACTTGCTAGTGTGTTCTGGGTGGATGTTAGCATGTTGATACTGTGTTATGAGTGGCTGTTGGGTTACTTGCTAGTGTGTTCTAGGTGGATGTTAGCATGTTGATACTGTGTTCTGAGTGGTTGTTGGGTTACTTGCTAGTGTGTTCTGGGTGGATGTTAGCATGTTGATACTGTGTTATGAGTGGTTCTTGGGTTACTTGCTATTGTGTTCTGGGTGGATTTTAGCATGTTGATACTGTGTTCTGACTGGATGTTAGCATGTTGATACTGTGTTCTGAGTGGCTGTTGGGTTACTTGCTAGTGCGTTCTGGGTGGATGTTAGCATGTTCATACTGTGTTCTGAGTGGTTGTTGGGTTACTTGCTAGTGTGTTCTGGGTGGATGTTAGCATGTTGATACTGTGTTATGAGTGGCTGTTGGGTTACTTGCTAGTGTGTTCTAGGTGGATGTTAGCATGTTGATACTGTGTTCTGAGTGGCTGTTGGGTTACTTGCTAGTGTGTTCTGGGTGGATGTTAGCATGTTGATACTGTGTTATGAGTGGCTGTTGGGTTACTTGCTAGTGTGTTCTAGGTGGATGTTAGCATGTTGATACTGTGTTCTGAGTGGCTGTTGGGTTACTTGCTAGTGCGTTCTGGGTGGATGTTAGCATGTTGATACTGTTTTGAGTGGTTGTTGAGTTACTTGCTAGTGTGTTCTGGGTGGATGTTAGCATGTTGATACTGTGTTATGAGTGGCTGTTGGGTTACTTGCTAGTGTGTTCTAGGTTGATGTTAGCATGTTGATACTGTGTTCTGAGTGGTTGTTGGGTTACTTGCTAGTGTGTTCTGGGTGGATGTTAGCATGTTGATACTGTGTTATGAGTGGTTCTTGGGTTACTTGCTATTGTGTTCTGGGTGGATTTTAGCATGTTGATACTGTGTTCTGACTGGATGTTAGCATGTTGATACTGTGTTCTGAGTGGCTGTTGGGTTACTTGCTAGTGCGTTCTGGGTGGATGTTAGCATGTTGATACTGTGTTCTGAGTGGTTGTTGGGTTACTTGCTAGTGTGTTCTGGGTGGATGTTAGCATGTTGATACTGTGTTATGAGTGGCTGTTGGGTTACTTGCTAGTGTGTTCTAGGTGGATGTTAGCATGTTGATACTGTGTTCTGAGTGGCTGTTGGGTTACTTGCTAGTGCGTTCTGGGTGGATGTTAGCATGTTGATACTGTTTTGAGTGGTTGTTGAGTTACTTGCTAGTGTGTTCTGGGTGGATGTTAGCATGTTGATACTGTGTTATGAGTGGCTGTTGGGTTACTTGCTAGTGTGTTCTAGGTGGATGTTAGCATGTTGATACTGTGTTCTGAGTGGTTGTTGGGTTACTTGCTAGTGTGTTCTGGGTGGATGTTAGCATGTTGATACTGTGTTCTGAGTGGTTGTTGGGTTACTTGCTAGTGTGTTCTGGGTGGATGTTAGCATGTTGATACTGTGTTCTGAGTGGCTGTTGGGTTACTTGCTAGTGTGTTCTGGGTGGATGTTAGCATGTCGATACTGTGTTCTGAGTGGATGTTAGCATGTTGATACTGTGTTCTGAGTGGCTGTTAGGTTACTTGCTAGTGCGTTCTGGGTGGATGTTAGCATGTTGATACTGTTTTGAGTGGTTGTTGGGTTACTTGCTAGTGTGTTCTGGGTGGATGTTAGCATGCTGATACTGTGTTCTGAGTGGTTGTTGGGTTACTTGCTAGTGTGTTTTGGGTGGATCATGTTAGCATGTTGATACTGTGTTGTGAGTGGTTGTTGGGTTACTTGCTAGTGTGTTCTGGGTGGATGTTAGCATGTTGATACTGTGTTCTGAGTGGTTGTTGGGTTACTTGCTAGTGTGTTCTGGGTGGATGTTAGCATGTTGATACTGTGTTCTGAGTAGTTGTTGGGTTACTTACTTGCTAGTGTGTTCTAGGTGGATGTTAGGGCTGTCAATCTTCCTCTATAATACTATTCGAATTCCATTCCTTATTTTATTTAATATTCGAATAATATTCGAATATTAAATGCTCAAATTCATCCTATTATTAATATTTACGACATTACTCAGGCTTATGGATCGCCAATGCCACTATAGCATGTGGTTGTTGTTACACGTTCTGTCCACTAGAGGGATATCTAACATTACAATTGTTTATTGTAATGTTAGATATCCCTCTAGTGGACAGAACGTGTAACAATTTTATTCGTGCTGAATATGGTTGAAGCGCTACCGATGGTTTTCGGCTAATATCTCCGCTAAAACACCACCAAAAATTCTGAAACTTATATCGTTCTTTTCAGTTCGACTAGACGGTTCCAACGAGTTTGGTGCTCGCCGAATCCGTTGAGTTTTCACCAAGATATTTGCGCTTCACGGGCGCTTTTTTACGTTGTTAAACATTTACCATTTTTGACAGTATTGTTATGATGATACAGCGTGGATAACGTGCACAATTGTGTTACGATTCAAAAACGTTATTGTTCATCAGACGAAACAAAAGCATTTCATTTTCACATGTGTGTAAGTCAAGGTGGCGAGAAAGGCAAGATTCCATATAAAAAAAATTAATAAATGGGAATAGGAGCAGGCTTCACTCAATGATTAAACTTAAACTTTAAGAATGCTGGCCTGATGATTAGAATATATAACGTTAAACAGGAAAGAGGCCGCACTATGCATAAATTGTTTTATTTGCACAAACGCGTTTCGGCGCGTGCCTTCTTGAAACGCGTTTGTGCAAATAAAACAATTTATGCATAGTGCGGCCTCTTTCCTGTTTATATATATAAAAAAATTAAAATATACATAAAAAAACAATATTCGAATAGTAACTTCAGCATTCGAATAGTATTGATTTTTTTAATATTCGAATTATATTCGAATTTCGGAATTCGTTCCAACAGCCCTAGTGGATGTTAGCATGTTGATACTGTGTTCTGAGTAGTTGTTGGGTTACTTGCTAGTGTGTTCTGGGTGGATGTTAGCATGTTGATACTGTGTTATGAGTGGTTGTTGGGTTACTTGCTAGTGTGTTCTGGGTGGATGTTAGCATGTTGATACTGTGTTCTGAGTAGTTGTTGGGTTACTTGCTAGTGTGTTCTAGGTGGATATTAGCATGTTGATACTGTGTTCTGAGTAGTTGTTGGGTTACTTGCTAGTGTGTTCTGGGTGGATGTTAGCATGTTGATACTGTGTTATGAGTGGTTGTTGGGTTACTTGCTAGTGTGTTCTGGGTGGATGTTAGCATGTTGATACTGTGTTCTGAGTAGTTGTTGGGTTACTTGCTAGTGTGTTCTAGGTGGATATTAGCATGTTGATACTGTGTTCTGAGTAGTTGTTGGGTTACTTGCTAGTGTGTTCTGGGTGGATGTTAGCATGTTGATACTGTTCTGAGTGGATGTTAGCATGTGTATACTGTGTTCTGAGTAGTTGTTGGGTTACTTGCTAGTGTGTTCTAGGTGGATGTTAGCATGTTGATACTGTGTTCTGAGTGGCTGTTAGGTTACTAGCTAGTGTGTTCTGGGTGGATGTTAGCATGTTGATACTGTGTTCTGAGTGGTTGTTGGGTTACTTGCTAGTGTGTTCTGGGTGGATGTTAGCATGTTGATACTGTGTTCTGAGTGGTTGTTGGGTTACTTGCTAGTGTGTTCTGGGTGGATGTTAGCATGTTGATACTGTGTTCTGAGTGGTTGTTGGGTTACTTGCTAGTGTGTTCTGGGTGGATGTTAGCATGTTGATACTGTGTTCTGAGTGGCTGTTGGGTTACTTGCTAGTGTGTTCTGGGTGGATGTTAGCATGTTGATACTGTGTTCTGAGTGGTTGTTGGGTTACTTGCTAGTGTGTTCTGGGTGGATGTTAGCATGTTGATACTGTGTTCTGAGTGGCTGTTGGGTTACTTGCTAGTGTGTTCTGGGTGGATGTTAGCATGTTGATACTGTGTTCTGAGTGGCTGTTGGGTTACTTGCTAGTGTGTTCTGGGTGGATGTTAGCATGTTGATACTGTGTTCTGAGTGGCTGTTGGGTTACTTGCTACTGTGTTCTGGGTGGATGTTAGCATGTTGATACTGTGTTCTGAGTGGCTGTTGGGTTACTTGCTACTGTGTTCTGGGTGGATGTTAGCATGTTGATACTGTGTTCTGAGTGGTTGTTGGGTTACTTGCTAGTGTGTTCTAGGTGGATGTTAGCATGTTCATACTGTGTTCTGAGTAGTTGTTGGGTTACTTCCTAGTGTGTTCTGGTGGATGTTAGCATGTTGATACTGTGTTCTGGGTTGCTGTTGGGTTACTTGCTAGTGTGTTCTGGGTGGATGTTAGCATGTTGATACTGTGTTCTGAGTAGTTGTTGGGTTACTTGCTAGTGTGTTCTGGGTGGATGTTAGCATGTTACTAGAGTGTTCTGGCTGATTGTGAACGTGTTGCTAGAGTGTTTTGAGTGATGGTTAGCATGTCATCTGAATGGTTATTGTTAACCTGTTGCTTTGCGATAGCTGAGAGGTAGTTAGTGTCTTATAAGGGTTTTCTGAGTGAATTTTGCTATGGCACAGGCACCAACAGCTGTACATACTGTGAATACCAGAGCGCTTTCTCCCTGCAGATTTTTCAGTATTTACAAATGACATATTTATTTAGACTGACCGACCCAGCGATGCTAAGCATTTGTGAATTAATCATTATTTTGAGTCGGTTCCCTCTTTCCAATAAGTTGGCCAAACAGGTTTGCAAAACAGTCTGAATTTATTTGCATCCACTGTCTCACTGAATCATCTAAAGTAGTGTCTCAGTCAGTAAAACAGACATTATTGAGAACACAGAAAACAAACAGCAATGGATAAAGTGGATATTCACCTACAAACAATTCTATCTAAAGGCTACTTTTCACACCGAAAGTGTTTTTGTGTCCGCCCGCATGTTTTCCTGAACATATGAACATGTACTAGATGGATGTCTGGGACCATTTTGTTGCTTTTTCCATTTTTGTGTTTCAAAATATTTAAAATGTGTCTACAGAGTGCCATTGATAATTTAGCCTGAAGAGTCTCAAGTCTTATAAAAGTGCACAATAGTTACATAAATACTAGACATTAGCAGAGTTGCATTTTTAATGAGCATATATTGAATTTCTGAACTTTTTAGTGTTGTTTTTCCATGTAGAAATCCTGCAAGCACCACTATGCTAGAGTGTTCTGCATGGTTGCTTACATCCTTTACTTAATTTCATGGGAGTGTAGAGTGTAACTATAATTAGTCGTAAACCTTAAGCATGTCATACGAAGATCCTCCAGTAGCTGACGCTCTTGTCTGCTTACATCTGCCTCCACGGCATCTGCCACGTCTTCGTGAACAAAGCGCACAGGGTCCCACCCCGTCATGATGTCAAAGGTGATGACACAGCCGAGTGAGTGGGAGACGATGGACACCTTTCCATTCTCTGCGAATTCTGGGTTGCGCTCGCAGAAGAGCATGTAAAGTCGGTTCAACTCTTTGGTTAGACCCCGGGTGATCTGAGGATGCAAGTGCAGAGAGCGTGAAACGAACAAGTGTGACACTGTATTTGTGCACTAGAAAAGAGTGGGACAGAGTGTGCGTCTGTGTATGAGTGGGACGTTTTAATAATCTCGTCTTACTAAAACATCTCTTGAAGCTTTAAAGTATACTTTTTTTATGTGCTTTCACATCAGGAGCACAAATATGATGCTTTAAAAATCTTGTATATGGGTTAGAGAGCTGAAAAAAAGAGCAAAATGAATGAAAGAGTAGATAACTATAGATGTAAATCACCTCATCCCTGTACAAAGGGCTTGTGTAGTACATAATGTCCATTGCACTGCTGTTCAGCATGTCTCTCAGACCTCGCACTTTGTCTGGAGTAATGGAGTCCACGGTGTCTGAAAAAGTAGACTTTATCATAAATAAACCATAAGCATGTCTATCACTGATAACAGTTTTCAAACATAATGCACTTTATATTTTTTTATCATTGTCCATAGGCAATACCTCCATCAAGGGAGAGTTTAGATCGCCATTCCACAGGAAGGAACTCAACGTGTTCATTTGTTCGGTCAGAAAAGTGCTTCTCCTCCATCTTGCGGGCAGCATCACGCATCCTAAACCGTCAATGAAATGCATCAGTTTCAGGACTAGATGTTGTTTGCAGACTCAGCTGTGTGATTTGTGGACTTACATGCTTGTATTTCTAATGATCCGCCCCTGATCCATCTTTTGGCCAATCCCATGTACCACAAAGACTATGTGCGTCGTTTCAGGGGGCGTGTCCTCTAGAGCCGCCTCCTCCACGTAACCTCGGTGGAGACGCGTCCCACTACTGGAGGCTAACCAGACACGCTAAATTGATAACCATGCACTTTGTTTTATCTTTAATTTTAACAGTGACTTCCCTTGTGAAAAAGAAGTGCACTTAACTGTATTGAATGCACAATCTAAAACCATTTTTAAACTAGACTTCCAGATAACATAATATTAATTAATTCAAATAAAAGGCCACTTAAGTGTACTTTAAAGAGATTTCAAAACATGCACTTTGTAATAATATTGAATTAAAAGTTTTGAAGTGTACTTCTTTTTCACAAAGGTTAGTTCACCCAAAATTGAAAATGCTGTCATCGTTTACCTCATGCCGTTCCAAAACCATTAGACTTCCGTTCATGTTCAGAATACAAATAAGAATATTTTTTTATTAAAAAAAAAGAGATTTCTGTCCCTCATTGACAGTCTATGCAACTACCACTTCGATGCTTCATAAAGTTCATAAAGAGATCCTTAAACTAATCCATATGAATCGAGAGGTTTAGTCCAGATTTTCTGAAGAGACAAGTTCGCTTTATATGATGAACAGATTTAATTTAGGCTTTTATTTACATATAAACATTGATCAGTGAACATAAAGAGAGGCTTAACCGAACCTACTTGATGCGCAAGAACAAGCCTCTTGCTGAAGCTCAAACGTGCTGCGTAACACGAGAATGAACCTCATTGGTTCTTGCTGAAGCTCAAACGTGCTGCGTAACACATGAATGAACCTCATTGGTTCTTGCTGAAGCTCAAACGTGCTGCGTAACACATGAATGAACCTCATTGGTTCTTGCTGAAGCTCAAACGTGCTGCGTAACACATGAATGAACCTCATTGGTTCTTGCTGAAGCTCAAACGTGCTGCGTAACATAAGAATGAACCTCATTGGTTCTTGCTGAAGCTCAAACGTGCTGCGTAACACGAGAATGAACCTCATTGGTTCTTGCTGAAGCTCAAACGTGCTGCGTAACACATGAATGAACCTCATTGGTTCTTGCTGAAGCTCAAACGTGCTGCGTAACACATGAATGAACCTCATTGGTTCTTGCTGAAGCTCAAACGTGCTGCGTAACACTAGAATGAACCTCATTGGTTCTTGTTGAAGCTCAAACGTGCTGCGTAACACATGAATGAACCTCATTGGTTCTTGCAGAAGCTCAAACGTGCTGCGTAACACATGAATGAACCTCATTGGTTCTTGCTGAAGCTCAAACGTGCTGCGTAACATAAGAATGAACCTCATTGGTTCTTGCTGAAGCTCAAACGTGCTGCGTAACACTAGAATGAACCTCATTGGTTCTTGTTGAAGCTCAAACGTGCTGCGCAACACTAGAATGAACCTCATTGGTTCTTGCTGAAGCTCAAACGTGCTGCGCAACACTAGAATGAACCTCATTGGTTCTTGTTGAAGCTCAAACGTGCTGCGCAACACTAGAATGAACCTCATTGGTTCTTGCTGAAGCTCAAACGTGCTGCGTAACACATGAATGAACCTCATTGGTTCTTGCTGAAGCTCAAACGTGCTGCGTAACACATGAATGAACCTCATTGGTTCTTGCTGAAGCTCAAACGTGCTGCGTAACACGAGAATGAATCTGTTCATCATATAAAGCGATTGTGTCTCTTCAGAAAATTTGGACTAAACCTCTCGATTCATGTGGATTATTTTTATAATCTCTTTATGAACTTTTTGAAGGGTCAAACTGCTAGTTGCGTAGCTGTCAATGGAGGGACAGAAAGCTCTCATATTTCATGAAAACACCTTCATTTGTGTTTCGAAGAAGAACTAAAGTCTTACGGGTTTGGAAGGACATGAGGGTGAGTAATTAATGACATAATTTTCATTTTTGGGTGAACTAAACCTTTAAAGACCACATAAAATGTTAAATGTTTTTATTTGGGCTTTTAGTCCATGTCTATTTGTTTTGAAATCATGTGTATGCTAGTGTACTCCAATAATGTACTTTAAGCAGATCCACGAATTAAAAAGTCAATGTCTTTCTCTTCATTTCATGTGAGAAAAAAAGACTCAAAATATTGATGACTCATGTTGCACACAGATTTTTGTCCAATCGAATGCACGTTCGCCCCACAGTAATCGACTAGCAAGTTGTGAATCGTGCTGAATCTACACTTTAATATGGCAGAAATAGTAAGAGTAAATAGTATGCCAGTATGTTATTTCGAGTTTAGCCATTTAGCCTATTTAATAAATTGGGCCTTCAGTATGTCCTGCCCAAGAAAATACACAACATAACAAAGAACACTGAACTCATCAAGCCATTTCATGTGGTCTACAAGTAAACAACACCACTGAGAAAGTACTTACTAATCAAGGGTGTTACAAACCTTTTGAGAACCCCAGTTTCTGAGTGACACTTCGTGCAATCTTAGAGGTGGTGGCGTCGCTGTAAAGGTACACTTCATCCACGCTGTGCCAGTCCACATGGCTCCGGCTCAGTTTCAAACTGTGAATGGCTGAGTGAATTAAGGGCAGAAGTCAAACAGGTCTGTTTCAAATTACCTGAATGTTAAGTAATCTTAAGTGGCCTAACTAGATCAGTTCGTTTCAATTAAGGGTCGTTTTAAGGATTTGCAAACATAACTGAAACTCGATTCCAGTACACAAGTCTGTTTAACTTAGTTCAAATGTGTTATGAGACAAACAGGATGTCTGGGTTAGGATGTAGGCTAGCTCATTCATGACTGTGCCTCTGGGTCAGCTGAAAGCTTCGATGTTAAGTCGATCTTTTTTGTGTGCTTGACCCCTAGTATTCAGCCTCCCTAACCCTGAGTCCTATTGGTTCCCTGGTATGTTACCATCTTTGCTGTCCACCGTGATGGCCACCGCTTCCGTGTCGAAGGTGTCTTTCATCTGCTGGCCTCGGAAACGGGCCAGGTGGTCCAGTTCAATGAGGTCACTGTCCTCTTCCTCCAGAGGCAGCCAGGTACCGTCCGTGAACCACTGGCCTCTCATGACCGGGATGTGGTCCTGTTCTGTAAAGACAAGCAGTCCGAATTGTTGTCCTAAAGCAACAATTCATCTGACTTAAGCACATTGTATGTTTTTGGTTTACAATTGTGTTTCCTAAAGAATTTCTGTTGCCGTGGGGTAAAATCATGAGTCTCTGCTCACCTAAGCGTGTCATGTTCACGGATGGCGATTTTAATGGTCTTTGCGATGAAGCTTAGCCTCAGACAAATTTCGGGCAGTGTCAGAAAATTTGGGTCACACTCCTACAGCTGTTACGGCTCACGTCCACAGAAGAACCAAAAGAAAGGTGTCTTTCACTGGACGAGAAGCGAAGCGACATGCTACGTCTGTCATATGGTTTAGCAATCATTTGGTAATTCCTATGTATGTATAGTTTTGTTTAAGAGAGGTTTATTGTATTTGGTCTGTCTATAGTCTGTGGAGTAGCATTCAAGTAAGTTTATCATTTTACTTGGTAACTTGTAATGACAATAATAAATGACTTGACTTGACTTGAAGGTGCGGTCACATTTACCCTTGTTCGGTGAATTTTAGGACACAGAATACATTTATGCGTTTTACGGTTTCGTGTTTTTAGAATGCCGTGTCGTGCGCTAGACGCTGCAAAAGACGCGAGAGCGAGCGACTCGGATAAAGATGTCCGTCTAGCGAGTATTTACATTGAAAAACAATGGAAGAGTAACGCAGTGGAATGTAAAAACGTGTTCTGTCTGAACGTCCCCTTAGATAATATACCCGTAATGTGTTATTTGCTGAAAGCCACATTCTCGAACATTGACGTAAAATCTGGCACAATTCATCTTTCAGGGTCAAGTTTGGATATGGAGCTCATGCCTTAAGATTTGAGAGCTACATGCAGGGATTTTTGGCAACAGCAAAAAAAAAAAAAAGTAAAAAAAAAAAAAATTCAGTTGTTGTTTCTCACCAGTGTTGGGTGTAATAAATTATTAAGTAATCTAATTACTGTAAATTACTTTTCCCTTGAAAAGGTAAAGTAAGGAATTATTCATACTTTTTCAGCAATTTAATTACAGTTAGCCTACTTCTGATGTAATTGAATCAAATACTGTGTAGACTACTAGTCTATATAAAACAATAGTGGATTTAACATCAACATTTACTGTTAGGCTAAATGTGTTTCAATGTAACCTTCTGCCTTTACACACGTTGGTCAGTTTAAGAATAATGAAGTTAGAGAATCAAAAGTGCAGTTTCATGTCTGTCTATAATTGTATTGTTTAACTAAAGTAATCATGTACTTTTTAGAGAGTAGTTACAGTAATCTAATCACATCTAAACTTCATGTAGCCTAATTAGTAGCTACTAGTATCAATTACTTGTTTAGAGTAACTTGCCCAACACTTAAACTATGGCTTCAGAGAAGATTTGAATACAGTATTTATTACTTTTAAGATGCTTTTATGGCGCTTTTTGGGCTGGTCAGCCTCAAGCCGGATGTAATATCGTTGTAACGTAACGTTAAGTAGCCTAAGAAGAACTTGAACATTCGGCAAAACCTCTCTTTGTTTTCCAAACACCACAAAACAACTATGTTTGAATTAGGCATTCTTGTGTGTTTTCTTCAATGTAATAAGCTTGTAAAAACACTCACGGTTCCAGTATACAGGATAACAGTCTTTCCCTTTAATGTCCACCTCGTAGAGTCCTCCACGGACACACACTGCCTCCACATTTATGCTTTCCGACTCCAGCTCCGTCTCGTCTGTTGAGCAGCATCCCGCATCCGAGCTCTCGGGTCCCGGTACCGATGCTGCCGCCGCCGCGGACTGTCTCCGGACCGCCGGTTCTTCACATTCTGACGGAGACTCGAATAAATCCTCCGCTTCTTCACTGGTATCCCTCCGTTTGACCTCGTTCGGGTTAAGCTCGCAGAATTTGCGATAAGCCAACTCGATTTTCAGAGAATCGTGTCCAACAAACGGTTTCCATGCCCTCTTGTCCTCTTTGTAGAACCAGCGCACCTCTTCGGGTCCGAGTTCCGTTACAACTTCCCCGCGGTGCCGCGAGCTGTTGGAGCGGTTGCGCTTTTTCGTGGTGACGTTCCCGTCGCTCTCGCTGTAGTTCGGGTCGCTGGGGATGTCGAGATAATCCGAGTCCGGATCAGAACCGAGACGGCCATGATAGACGGGGAAACCCTCTTCCACCAGGCCTAGCATCAGTTCGCGTTGGCCTAGGGGAAGTGGCAGATGCACGTCTATGCCCGACTGCACCGCATTCATCCCGCCGTGAATCGCGTCGCCCATGGGCTCGTCAAAGCAAGACGTATACGAATCATCCATCCTTCCCCATTCATTCCCGCTGACATTTTCCCTGCTTTCCGAACAACTCAAAGACGTTTTGTCCTGACAAGCGCTCATCGCTGTCAACGCTTTCTGGAAAACAGCAAACAGAACGATTTCAGCACCGGTCAGCTGATTATAATAACAACAAATCTAACGATGTCAAAACCTCTCCTTCCTCCGGCGCGACCAAAGCGGCCAGCATCTGTACAGATGCGTCAATCACAGACGCCGAACCTGAAACGCCATTGATTACAAGCGAATTCACTTTTACAGTCCTCAACTTATTGGGCGGACACGCCAACCTGTTCCATTAATATGCCGACTGTATTTCTTCTCCCCGTGGAGCCCCTCTGCTCTGTAGCGAGCGACGTCCGATGAGTGAACGGATCTTTCTTTAGAGTCGGACCTTGCTGTTCACGGATCAGTCTGAACGAGTCGTCAAACGATTCATCTGTCCCAGCGGTAGAGTCTATTGACATTTCAACCGTGACTGTTTTCGAAACATAATATCATTTTTTTTGTCACAGCTGACTGGAATATGCCTTGTTATTTATATGGCTGATAAAATATAAGTAGTATTAGGATGCTATTTGACGCAAACTGTATTCTAAATCTCTTTGTTTTTATGAGTATGATACAAATTACAACCTTATTTTTAATCAAAAGTGCGTACGTATTTTTAGTTCACGGAAATGTGCCACATTACTTTCTGTAATAACTATCATGAAACCTTGCGTTTAATTTGCCATTATTCAGTTAGGCCTATTTGTGTGAGATACAGACATTATTTATCAATGAAAATTTTCAATTTCAAGACCTCTTTATGGAAAAACACTTTTTTTTTTGGCTTCACCGAATATTTTAAAGGCGAATGTAAAGTGTTTTACTCAAATATTTCGGAATAATTTTCACATTCATAAACGTGAGTTCACTAATATAAAGCCCAACTTTATTGTTTGTTGAATGAAGGCTGTACATAGACAGCAGAGACTGTTGAATAAGAAAGCTTTGTGAAGCTTTAAGTGAGTTTGTGAACTTTACTATTAAGTATGTATTTGACATTTTATAGCCACACTTATTCTGATTTTTAAATCACTGTTGTATATTTATTTTTGTATATATAAGTGTATGATGTTCAATATTTTAAGGTGCATATATAAAGTTAATGTAATGTAAATGTTTGTTTAAAAAAAATGTCCACATGACTCCGCAATTACGCGATGACGTAAAAAACTGAATTTGTTTTGAACCGGTTCCATGCAACGATTTGTTTGAAAGAGCCGATTCGCAGAATGACTCTGACTTCTCTTCACCATCTTGCTATAACGCTCCTCCCTATGCGTGACGATATTGGTGTCATGTGCGGATTTGATCCTCTGGGCCACCGTAGTAGCCTGTCACAACCGGAAGTTTACGTTGATGAGTCTTGCAGTGACAGCCAGACGCAAGACTGAACAGGACAACCGCATTATTATTATTATTATTTTAATTATTTTATTATACGTGCAGGCATTTAATCGCATTGTATTAATGTAACACTTTGAGCATGGCCGCGGAGTTTTTAGTGATGTTGTATGAGTATTCTCCTCTCTTTTACATTAGTGTCATATCAGTATGTTTCATCATCACAGTAGCTGCTGTGTTGGGCTGGTAAGTCAATGTTGATCTGGATATTATGAGCATTTTAGGCCAGTGTTGTGAACTATGTGGGATGTTGATTTCTCTCTGAGTCTGAATTGTGCATCTCCAGTGAGTTAGTTCCTTTATGAAAGCAGAAGTTGCACTCTTAATCTTTGTCTCACTAACTTTAGTATCTCCTGTCAAGGTTTGGATTTGATGTTCCCGTCATTTTACGCAGTTCAGATGAGACTGAATCTTTAATTCCTGTGCCTGAGAGGAAGATGGTGCAGGTGACCAATCCCTTCGCTTTGGAGATGGACTCTCCGGCTGGGACAGTAACTGGTGAGAGTCAACTCAACAATGTTCAATCGATTTAAAATGAGTCAAAGGTAGTCCATAAGTGTGTGTGTGTGTGTGTGTGTGTGTGTGTTGTGGTTGTGTCAGAGGGTGTGAGCTTGCGGCCGTATTGCCTTGAAGACTGTGTCCTCAGCTGTTTCTGGGGCTGTGGGGTCCCGGCGCTCCAGGCGGCCCTTCAGAGTCACCAGCGTGGGCTCCGGCTCGACACACCAGAGCGGTTTCAAGAGGCTCTGCAGTTAAGCTATCTTCACCACCAAAGCTTCAAGTATCCTTTTAATTTAACTCTTATAGTGGTAATAGCTCTGTAATAACATTCCACATCGTCCTTCCACCAGATCCATATGTGAAAATTGAGGTAAGCTGTGCCACTTTTTACTTGAGCTGTACAGAACATATCTAAATCTATTTCAGGATGTGTGTGCCATCAACTAAAAATGAACAAATTGCATGAAAGGGCTATAAAAATGACTTTTAGATACAGAACTTGCCTCACATTAAGGGTAGACTTATGTCATCATGATCGATGCACATAACTGCATATAATATACATAAATTAGTTAAATCTGTATTATCATCATGATGATTTACTTAATGATTAGTTCAATCATTTCCGCAGCAATATCATGGACTTGTTAAATATCACTGTAGAAATATATGCCTATATCATGAAACATAATGTTGTTGCCTTAGTAAAAAATGTAGTCTTTTAAGTGGATTCTTCAATGTTCCACTTAAAGGGATCGTTCACCCAAAAATCACCAACATTCTTCAAAATATTTCATTTTGTGTTCATCAGAAGAAAGAAACTCATACAGGTTTAGAACAACATGAGGGTGAGTAAATGAAGACAACATTTTAACTTTGGGGTGAACTGTCCCTTTAAGTGGAACATTGAGTGATCATTTTCACAGACAATAATAATATTCGATTTACCTGCTTTAAAAAAAAACGTTCCAGTAAACACTGCTAGGGATTAGAAGTGAAAAGGGATGCATTCTTAGTGCATTCCAGTGATTATTAATGGCACATATCAGGAATAAATCAGGATAGCATACCACAAATGTGCAGTAAATGTTTTTTTTTTTTTTTCATACTGATTCAGCGAATATAAAGGGAAAAAAATGAATAGTCAGAAAATAATCCATTGACTGAAAAGAGCTCTTGCTATAGATATTTTTGTTATTATACCATGTCACATTAAAATACCAAGCTTTACGCGATTTTCCTGACGTCTGAAAATAGAACATGAAGGAAATTGTACAGCTCATTGAGTCAAACTGACGGATAATTATTATTTGTGGAGCATCAGTATGATTTGAAATGTGAATGAAGTGGTTTTGAATTTGTAGTAAGGCCCTGTCCCAAATGGCACACTTCCACAGAAGACCACAAGTGTTTAGGGTGCCATTTGGGACAGGGCCTAATAATGCAGCTGTATAGTGTGCCTTCCTGAAGAAGAGTCACGTGACAAACAGATCTTACACCACTCCCACTTTATAAATTCATAGATGGAACACAATGGCATGTTTTGTCCTTAACATAATACAAGTATACAGAAAGAAGAAAAAGTCGAATACTTCACCCAGATGCTACCAGATCTCGGAGTAACCGATTTTGGGTTGCTCCCCCGGGACCGATACCCTTTGGTAGCTGTGCTGACACTGGCCAGTACGGAAACCAGGGACGACTACAATATCGTAAGCAGCAGAGAGTCTTTCATTATCAGATTTGTTTGATGGGAACAGGTGCAGTCTGTTTATAGCCGGTTGTTTTCTAGGTGGCCAGTGTGACAGTCCTCCATGTTCCTGATGTCAAATACAGACTCTCTGCCAGAATCTTGTTCCAGTATCTTCTCACGGCGCATGGGAACTTTTATGATCTGAAGGTATGAACTACCAGTCAAAAGTTTTGGATCGCTAAGATTTGTAGATGTTTTTAAAAGAGGTCTCTTCTGCTCACCAAGGCTGCATTTGTTAAATAAATAAATAAAACAGTAATATTGTTAAATATTTTGCCAATTTAAAATAATTTTTTTCTATTTTAATATATTTTAAAATGTAATTTATTCCTCTGATCAAAGCTGAATTTTCAGTGTCAATGTCACATGATCCTTCAGAAATCATTCGGATTTGATGCTCAAAAAACATTATTATTATTATTATTATTATCAATGTTGAAAACAGTGTATTCTTTGATGAATAGAAAGTTTAAAAGAAAAGCTTTTTTTTTAATAGTATCTTTTGATCACAGGAATAAATAACATTTTACAATATATTCACATAGAAAACAGCTATTATAAATTGTAATAATATTTCACAATATTACTGTTGTTTTTTGTATTTTTAATCAAATAAATGCAGCCTTGGTGAGCAGAAGAGACCTCTTTTAAAAACATTAAAATATTACCGATCCTAAACTTTTGACTGGTAGTGTATTTACATTGTCTTTTTTTTTTTTACTGTTCTTGGCAGAGTCATGTTTTGTATGCTCATTTTGATCACATTTAACCTTCATCACCTAGCGTCCCTGAAGCAAAATGGCTGTACCGTTAATTAAGTTAGCGTTAATTTTGTCTCGTGTGCTTAAAACTTGTTCCTTTTTTCACAGCCTCTCTTCATGTCAGCAGACAACAGCAACTTGTCTGAATCCACAGAGCCTTCGACTAGCACTCAAGACGCTGAGCCGCAACCTGAGACGCCATGTGCGAAGGGGGAGGAGTCTGATTCAGAGGGGGAGTGGCCTGATACTCAAGGCAAGGACTGTGTGGTGTGTCAAAATGCACCGACAAACAGAGTGCTTCTGCCGTGCCGACATGCATGCGTATGCGACGGCTGCGTGTGCCGCTTCCAGCACTGTCCGATCTGCAGAGCTTTTGTCCTTGAATCCTTTGCGCTGTCAAACCGACCAGATCATGATATTGAAGAGGACGACTTAATGGAAGACTAAAGCTATTTAAAGTCAGTATTAAAAGGCAAGCCGTTGCTGGAAAGGCTAAACCTGAAAAGGAACCATTGTAGCATCTGCAAGGTTAAGAGATGCAGGCAGCTGACCTTTACCCCCACATATGGACACTTCTAGAATTGTTTCAATTTTAGGCTTTTGAAGTTGGATGTGCTTGTAAAATGTGTTTAATATAGAGCTTTTAAGTTGAATAGGATATTTATTTATTTTTTCAATATATTGGTTGAACTAACAAATACATGATTCAGAATGACTCGTTGTGGAGTTTTTCTTGTGGAGATTGAAGAACAGCGATACTGTGGAAAAACCATGGGAGTATATTTTATTATTTCTTTCTTTTATCATTGACTTTAATTATGCGGAAGAAAGCAGGCCAGGCACACATTTTATATAACTGATCACACAGAATTATAAAGAGCCGTATCATTTTTCAGGTCTACATACTCGGCCAACAGGTAAAGATTTGTATTAAATTGGGGCTAAACAATGGATTAACTGAACAACTGAAGTCACTTGATGGTAGCAATGGAAATGTTTTCAAATGTTGACACAAAATCTATTGCAGTAACTTTAACAAAAAAAGTGTTGTGTCCATGGACAGTGTTGATATCTGACTAACCCCTCACGTTTATACTTTGCACAAAAATGTGGTTTTATACAGGTTTGTAGTCCAGTTTGGACTCCAGCTTCTTGGAGTCTGCCACCTTTCTCACAGCTTTCATGAAATCCTCCTGAGTCACATAATCGTGGTCGGCACGAATGGCAAACATACCTGTGGGACAAAGAGGAGGAGGAGGTCATACACTGGAGAAACTCAATCAAAAGTTCAAGGTTAGCATTACACCATAAGACCCAAAAAACACCTCTCCACTAACAGCTGTTAAAAAACAAAAGTTGACATGCAACATAAAATTCAAAATGGTTTCATTGTTTTTTTTGTCCACATTTCTATGGACAAAATCATCTGAAAAATATTGGAGGACTGCTGCAGAAGTGCATGACCCAAGTTGTCATAAACCTAAGAATGCTTCTAAAGCGCTTCAAACTAACTCGTAAGCATTTGACACAGCTCGCCCTATCAGGTGCTCTAGCGTTTGAGACATTTTCCCCAGCGCATAACTTGCATTTGACCGTTTCTCTGTAAATGTTAGAAAGTCAAGAAAGCGACTGTTAAACTTCACAGACAGTGCATTTAGTTGGTGCTTTTGTTTTTCTTTAACATTGGGAAAGTTTTAGAATGTAATGTTTTTATATTTTAACCCATTTCACACAAATTACAGTACGATAATTCACAACCCTTTTTAATAGCCTTCGATTTACACATTAAGGATTTTCACACTTGAAATAGTTAACCCTGGGTCATTCTATACCCAGGCAAACAGAATCCTGGGTTATCTTGCTTCACGTTGCTCAATTTACCCAGGTTAACAATTAATTCTGAGCTTTCATAAGATGTCGTTTCACACTGTACATTCCTAAACCTTGTGTTTAACGTCCTTATTTGCATATATGCGGTGTCACTGATTGGACAAATGCCACCCGCAAATTGTTTTCACAAAGGCTCTAGCATTTGGCATCCTTGAATTATATATTGCAGACGGTCCTGTTGAGTTTATCCTAAATGTATATATAATGAAACTGTCTCCTCTTCACTCAAGTAGTCACATTTTCGGTTACTATTTGACATTTTCCGGAGCAGGGTTTCATAACCCTGGGTAAAAAGCGATGCAAACCCGCTACTAAATTACAAGAGTTAAAAGTGGGGTTTAGAATGACGATAACCCTGGGTTAAACAGTGAAAAGACCTATTTTTTTTTAGGGCAACATTGGGCAGGATGTAGAAAAAACATTTTAAAATAAGAAAAAACCTGAAAATGAGGCGTTTAAACGAAACTAAAACACAGAAAAAGTATGCATTTTGGCCATTAATTTACACAACAACAGCGTTTTGGGAACCTGAAAACAGGTTTCAAAGTACAAGTTTGTGCATATGATACAATTAACACTTAGCAAAATAATTGTTCATTGCAGCTCTAATTATATTAGCTTGGTGGACTTTTTTTTTTTAAATCAACAGATCGTTCCTGTTCCCTAATATGACTGGATTTTGTCTTAGTTTGTATATACATGATAGATCATGGCAAATATAATGTTTCTTTAAAACAAACTGTCGATGTGACATTTCCTACCAGCTTCAGTGCACACATTCCTCAGATCTGCTCCATTGAAACCGTCTGAAAGCTTGACGATGGCTTCATAATCTGGAGACAAAAGGGAAATGTGATGAGAGAGGAAAAGGAAATACTCCCAAGAAAAAGGCACAGCTGAAAAAAAAAAAAAAAAGAGACCGGAAAGTCATGGGGGCGCACCTATTTCTCCATGCTTGGTGATGGGCCCAGAGTGGATCTTCAGGATGTCCAGTCGAGCCTGTTCATTGGGCAACTCAATGTCTGTACGGTGGGGAAAGAAAAGTTTAAGTTTCCAAGTACAGTCACAGAATGTGTAAAGAGGGAGGATACTGAAACACAAACGTACGAATCTTTCTGTCCAGTCGGCCAGGACGCAGTAGCGCAGGGTCTAAAGTGTCCGGCCGGTTAGTGGCCATGATCATCTTGACTCTATGCAGAGTATCAAATCCATCCATCTGATTCAACAGCTGATATAGAGACACAAATATTTAAGCATGCAATCAACGTGGTTTTTATCATGTACATTTTGATATGCAGGAAGGTCTTCAATTAAATTAGTTAAAAGTTTATTCAATAAAGAAACAAATCCAATTGACAAATTTTGAAACCTCCATAAGTGTTCTTTGGATCTCTCTATCTGCAGACGTTCCTTCAGAAAACCGACGTCCACCTTCAAAAACAAAGCGTGTGTTAATATAAATTCAGAACAACTGCACAATTCCCATGGCTTGAATACAATGTGGAGAAGAGCATTACCAATAGCGTCGATCTCGTCCATGAAGATAATGCAGGGCTGATGGTCTCTGGCATAGTTGAACATCTCTCTGATGAGTCTGGCGCTCTCACCAATGTACTTGTCAACAATGGAGCTGGACACGACCTGATAAACAGCATGTTTTATTCAACACTATGACCATACAGTTGCCCACTAACAACCATAACAGATGACTTGAGTCAAGTTAAACTCCAGCTAAATAGTTCATTTACTGCCTCTAAACCAACATACCTTCAGGAAGTTGCAGTCCAGCTGACTGGCCACAGCTCTGGCAAGAAGGGTCTTTCCAGTGCCTTTAAAAAAATAATAATAATAATACTATTTTTGTTAAAACACCACATTTGTTTCATATTTGCACATCTCAATAACAAGTAAGTGTCCACCAAACCACAGCAGGGTGACTGACCTGGAGGTCCGTACAGGAGGCAGCCCTTGGGAGGGATGATGCCCACTCTCTGGAACAGCTCAGGATTGGTCAGAGGAAGCTCAATTACCTACAACAGAGAATCCATTATTAAAACCGTTCAACAAGTTCAGTATAGTCCAAAGCTGCATTTATGCTGTAATGCACAGATCCAGCCTTTAAACACTGTTTTACATTCAGACATACGAGTGTTTAAACTCACGTCAGATGACTGGGTTACAGATTTATACCTGATTTTGATGCATATGAAAATGGTCTAACAAAATTATTTTATATGTTCTTCCTATTTAAACACCTAATGAGCCGATTTGCACTCGATTATCAGCAAAAAGATTATAAGAATATAAATTCTTAGTTAAAACGTTTGGTTTTGTTTTTAAAGAAATTAATTCTTTTGTTCAGCAACGATCAAAAGTGAGTGAAAATTTTAGGAAAAAGAAATCTAATTCAAATAATTGTTCTTTTGAACTCTATTCAAAGAATATGTATAACATAGTATGATATAAAATATATAGTTTTTGTGAAACATCACAACTGTTATAATAATAATAATAATGTTTCTCGAGCAGCAAATCAGCATATAATATTATTTGAATGATTTCTGAAGGAGAAAGTGACACTGATGGCAAAGCTGAATTTTCAGCATCATTATTCTAGTCTGCACAGGAATAAATTAAATTTTTAAAAGATTAGTGCTGTCAAACGATTAAAATATTTAATCACGATTAATCGCATTAATGTCATAGTTAACTCCCGATTAATCGCACATTTTTATCTATTGTCTAAATGTCTCTTGATTTCTTTTTGTCCCATTATTTTTTCTCATTTTAATGCTCTTATCAACATGGAAAAGTGGATCGGCTTGCTTTGTGCAAATGTTTTTTATTGAAAACAACATTGGCATATACTGTGTTCAATTTCACACTAACATTCTCACTTGGAGCAAATAATCTCTCACACAATGTAACACTGTCCGTCAATAAAAGGGTGAAAGAAATACTGACGAGGTCCTGATAATGACGAGGGGGCGGAGAATTCGCATCAGCTGTGTGTGTGTGTGTGTGTGTGTGCTTGGCCATCAAGTGGTATTTCAGACTGGACGTGCTGCGATGATGATAGCTCAGTTCACAACGACAAAACACACAGATCACTTTGGTCTTGTCAATGGAACCTTTTGTCAACTTTTTAAAAGTGAACTTTCCATTCAGAATCTTATTGGCATCCATTTCGGCGTCTCGCGCTCGTCATCCACTCAAAACGTAACGTTAACCAACTATTTGGGCGGCTCGCAAGCCCAAACAAGTTTGTGCGGCGTCGTGCCTGTTGTTTTGTTTCCGGTCTAGCTAGATCCGCTTGCGCTTTCAAAACGTCCTCGCGTGGCGCAAGCCATTGAAATGAATGGGTTTCATAGCGTAGCGCCCCGCATGCCGCGTCCTGTTGCAAAAGCATGTGAAAAAAACGACAAAGTTTGCTAGGCCAAAAAGACCGTTAATCGCGCGATAAAAAAAATTAACACCGTTAAAATGGGTTTGCGTTAACGCCGTTTAATAACGCGTTTAACTGACAGCCCTAAAAAAAAAATATTAAAATAAAAACAGTTATTTTAAAATGTATTATTATTTCACAATATCACTGTTTTTACTGTATTGTTGATCAAATAAATGCAGCCTTGGTGAACATTTCATCAGATGACAATGATATATCAGCGTCTTGCTGACCTCTCTCAGCTCACGGATTTGCTCGGACAATCCACCGATCTCGGAGTAAGAAACGCTGCCAGGGTCTTCATGGGACATGTTGTACACTAGAGGATCCACCTCCCGAGGCAAATACCTTTAAAAAAAAAAAAAAAAAGGATTTAGAAA